GCCGGCCCCCTTCGGTGAAGTACTTTAAAACAATGTAGGAGTCCACTGGGTACATGACCAGGACACAGGCACAAGCAAACATGCTGAGCACAGACGGTGTACAAGATGTACACACACTGAGCATGTGCTGTACACACACTGTACACAAGCTGAGGACAGAGTGTACACACACTGTACACAAGCTGAGGACACAGTGTACACACACTGTTCAAAAGTGGAGGACACAGTGTACACATGCTATGCACATGCTGAGGACACATAGATGATATGCAGTACATATGCTATACACACACTGTACGCAAGCTGAGGACACAGTGTACACGCAGTGTACACAAGCTGAGGACACAGTGTACACACACTGTACGCAAGCTGAGGACACAGTGTACACGCAGTGTACACAAGCTGAGGACACAGTGTACACACACTGTACACAAGCTGAGGACACGCTATATGTTGAGGACATGCTGTACATACGCTTTACACACACTGTACACATCCTGAGAAAACGCTATATACACTGCATACACACACTGAGCACATGCAGTACACACCCTGTACACAAGCTGCACATGCTCTGCACACACACTGAGCACACAATGAGTATACATTAAGCATCACCCTGCCCAATCCTTTTCTTGGGAATAAAGGAAAGTGAAATGCATGGATAGTTTAAAAATAAAACATCATGTCACTTTATTAAATCCCAAGAGTCCTAGTAGAAATATTTATTGCCATCATGAAATAGGAGACATTTAAAAGTGCAGAGTTGGGTCTCGCAGAGGCACTGAGCTCCACGCCAGCGGTTTGCCGTGCTTCATGCACCTCTCATCATCAGCACACGCACCGGCTGCAGACAAGGGCCCCTGGGTGCCAACCTCTGGCTCTACCTCCATCTCATTTACATTTGAAAAGCCACTATCGGGAAAAGGCGCATGAAGGAGATTAAACGCTGTTATTTGAGAAACTGACAGCAAAATACTCTGTTTGCCTACGGGCTCATCTAGGGTCTCAGCAATGCAAGCGACCCCCCCCCACCCCCGACCACAGGTGTGTCATGTTAGGCAGGTGATTTAATCCCCCGTAACCCTGTAGGTGCCCCCCCCCCAGCCAAACGACACCAAAGCGGGAAGTGAGCGGCTCTCAGCAGGATTCCTTCTTTGGCATGGTTTCCATGGCTGGAGGTCTCAGATGGGTAATTACCAGTCCAGCACATTCCCTGGGGCCTTATTGCGAAGATCTGCATGGCACTTACTCCACGCCGGGGGGGACAGGTGTTGTCATGTTCAGGTGAGACCCCCCCCCATGTATAATAATACCAGGCCTGGTAAACAGGAAGCCCACCAAGCAGTCTGGTAAACAGGAAGCCCGCCGAACAGTGTGGTAAACAGGAAGCGTGCCGGGCAGTGAGGTAAACAGGAAGCGTGCCGGGCAGTGTGGTAAACAGGAAGCGTGCCGGGCAGTGAGGTAAACAGGAAGCGTGCCGGGCAGTGTGGTAAACAGGAAGCGTGCCGGGC